AAAAAAAAAAAAAAAGAAATGTCGTCCATTTTATGAATTAAGTGAACTCAGAAATGAGCGGTATTTCAGAGTTTTACATGTATATGAAATAATGATATAAAAAAAAGTTTCAGATTTCTTAAAGGTTCTGAATTTTTAGGTACTATCCAGGTACAGGTATTCATTTGTTGGTTGGAAATTTGGATCTGAAACTCAAGAAAGGTATCTCTTGGCATCTAGAGACATAATTGGAAATCATTGCCAACATTTAAGTAATAATTGAAGCTCTCAAAAACAGTGAGATTTGGGGCGGGGGATGTAGCTCAGTGGTACCACACCTGCCTGGCAAGCTGCAAGGTACTGAGTTCAATCCCTGGTACCAAAAAAAAAAAAAGTGAGATTTACCAAGTTAAGAAGTATAGTGAGAAGAATTGTCAGCCAAACCTTGAGGAATACTAAGGTATAAATGCCAGACCAAAAAGACAAAGGAACCAGATAAAAATAATAAACAGTCATGTTTATCAAAGGACTAGCGTGTGTGTGTGTGTGTGTGTGTGTGTGTGTGTGTGTGTGTGTGTGTGTGTATGGGATGGGAGAACAATGTGGGGATCAGGTAGAGTCAAAAAGACAGGAATAGTGTTGGAGCTCATCATATAAATTAAAAGCTTTTCTTAAAAGCCTCAAATTCTGGAAATTCCTATTTTGGGATATTTCATCTTGTCAAAAAGACAGGAAAATGTTGAGTAAAGAGAGGCTAGTGTTAAGTTGTCAGCAGCAGCTCATTTTAAAGTGAATTACTACCAGAAAGAAAAGTGAATCGCCATCAATAAAAACGTGACAATGACAATTTAACATAAGTTGGTGGCTGGCAGTGCTATTAAGTAAGGTTGGGGAGGCAGAGGGAGAGAAAACATGAAAAGACAGGAAATGGTTTCAATTTTAGATGTATTAAATCTGAAGTGTCTTTGGGGGTGCCCGGCAGAGATGATCCAAGTGAGACCCTGGGGTGAGCCCAGAGCTGAGCGTTTCATGTGAGGAATCAGAATTGAAGATGCAGTTGTAGAAGTCAGTAGTAGTGATGATAATAGTTATTGCAGTGATGGTGCCAGAGAGAAAGATTCGCTCTTAAGTGGGATGAGGAACCATGTGAAATAGCAGTATTTAAGGGATAGAAATAAAAGAATAAATGAAAGAGAAAGAAGAACTGAGATGAAAGAAAAGAATCAGGAATACCTATAGTCCCAGCACTTGGAAGACTGAGGCAGGAGGACTGCTTGAGCCAGGGAGTTGGAAACCAGCCCAGGAAACATAGTGAGACCTTGTCTCAAAAAACAAAAAAAGTATCCAAAAAATCAGGAAAGGAAAAAATTCATTTATCTTCTTCTTGTCCCTATTTATCAAAAGCCAAGGAAAGGAAAAGTCAAATTCTACTGCTAGATAGAGGTGCACAAGGACTGGAAGACAGTAGCAGGTAGAGAGGAGTCTGATCAGAAAGCAGACATAGCCCATGAAACAGACCACAGCCTTAAAAATTTTGTGTTTCACAGGCCGGGGATTTAGCTCAATGGTTCTGCCACCTGCCTTGCAAGTGCAAAGTCCTAAGTTCAATCCCCAGTACCAAAAAAAAAAGAATCAAAAAATTTTGTTTCAGGACAAAAAAAAATGTATTGCTAACCTAAAAGAAAAACCAGCATTTAGAGTGAGGGTAGATGGAAAGTTCATTACCTTTTAGAACCATGAGTAAAAGTATTTGTAGGTTGAGGAAAAGGAGCCATTGAACAGGGACAAAAAAGTTTCACACAACAAAGCAGGGTATTTTTTTTTTTGGTACCGGGCATCGAACTCAGGACCTTTTGCCTACAAGGCAGGCCCCAGAACCACTGAGCTAAATCCCTGGCAGGAGGGCATTTTTGATGGAGGAAAGCACCAGGGGAGCTGATGAGGGGGTAGGGTTAAAATTAAAGGAAGATAACCTCTTTGAAAGACAGCTTGGCACTATCAGGAGTCTCAGTGTTCCTACAAGCACCTGCTGGTTTGGTGATTCATGCTTACATACAACTCAGCGACTGCACTGCTACAAATTTATCTCAGGGAAATGGAAACTTGTATCTATGCAAATATACAAATGCTAATAGCATAAATTTTAATACACAAATGTTACTAGCAGCTCTATTTGTAACAGCCTAAAACTGGAAGCAATCAAAGTCTTTCAGTGTAAAGTTATATTCACGGATAAGATTGATTATGGGAAAGAAATAGCAGAGAAAAGTTATGTATAGATGGTTAGAGAGGTCAAAGCCCAGCATTCTTGTCCTCCTTTTGCAGGGGGTGTGCACCCACATCTTTCTCCAGCTGCAAATTGTAGAGTTCTGTGTGAGATGTACTCATCCAGGAAAAACAGAGACAATAGGAGGGAAAGGGAGAATTAAGCCTTAACATGTAAATCCCTGCATTAAATATAAATGGTCTAAATTCCCAATAAAAAGAGATACTGAGGTTGGGCCTGGTGATACATGCCTATAATCCTGGCACTCTAGGAGGCTGAGGGAGGAGGATCACAAGTTTGAGCCCAGCCTGGGAAACTTAATGACTTAGCAAGACCCTGTCTCAAAATAAAAAATAAAAAATGTGGCTGGGGATATAGCTCAGTGGCATCACCCTGCCTTGCAAGTGCAAGATGCTGAGTACCACCACCACCAAAAAAAAAAAAAAAGACACAATAGATTAAAAAAAGACTAAACTATGTGCTTTCTGTAAGAAATTCACTTTATATATGAGATATGATCAACATGTAATATGTATATGTACCAGTTCCCCAAGATGAATGTAAATATTGGATATGGCAAATATATACTATACTAATAAAAAATTTACAAAACAAATGTAAGGATGTAGATCAGTCAAAAATAAAAGGATGGAAAAAATATGCCATAAAAGGGATTGGTAGTTTCTTCAAATACACACTATGCTTTTATTCAGGGAAATGGAAACCTATATCCACACAAACTCCCAAATGTTAACAGCGGCTTTATTTATAATAGCCTCAAATTGGAAAAAAAAATTATTCCGGTATGTGAGTGGTTAAACAAACTTGTTGGGTATGAAATACTACTCAGTGATAAAAAGAAACCATGGTGAGCAGTCTGGCACCATTTCCTGACGTGTGATGCTGATTAACTTTTAAGCCTCCCCCTGCCCCTTCCCGGGGGCCCCACATCTGGACAAAATGATAAGAAAGCCCAAGGGCTGCTGTCTTTAGTGCTGTTTGGTGATCAAAGCACACAAGCCCTGCCCTAGCGCTAGCCAGGGCGAAGGATGCCAGGCCCTGTCCCTGCATTCTCACACCATGCTGGACACACTTGGGAAGCCTGCTCTGCTCTCTAGGTACTTCCGTTATGGAGCTAAGGAAACCTCTTCCCCTTGGGGTGTAGGTGGGATCGTCAGTCTCAACATCCAAAGCAAACTGGCAAGGGCGGGGGAGGGGGGTCCCTGCTGCTTTTGCAGGGTGACTGTAACGGGGGAAACTGTGGATACAGTAACTTGGGTTAACAAGGACTTCATGCTGAGTGAAAGAAGCCTGTCTCGACAGGCATGGTGGCACAGGCCTGGAATCCCAGCAACTCAGGAAGCTAAACCAGAAGGTCCCCAAGTTCAAGGCCAACCCGGGCACCTTGGAGAGATCCTGTCTCAAAATAAAATAGGTGGGGGCTGGGATGTGGGTCAGTTTAGAGCATCCCTGGGTTTAATCCCCAGTACCACCCCCAAAAGTCAGTCTCAAAGGGCCCCAGGCTGTTTGATTTCCTATATATGACATTCTTGACAAAATTATAGAGATAGCAAATTAGTGGTTGATAGAGAAGAGGGCTGGTAAGCAGGGAAGGGTGTACATGTGACCATGAGGGTAACAAGAAAAATCGCTGTAGTGATGAAATAGTTCTGTGTCTTGGTAGTGGCTGTGCTTAAATGAATGATGTGATGAAATGGACAGGATGTCAACACAGTAACAATGTCAGTCTCCCAGTTTTGATTTTGATATAGCTTGTAATTCAATCAACCGACCAATTAGAGCAATATAGACGCATCTTACAGATGTAATGTTGGTTCAGACAAATGCCAAAAGACGGGGCTGGGGTGTAGATCAGTGGTAGAGCACATGCCTTGCATACATGAGGTTCCAGGTTCAGTCCCCGGCACCTCCAGCCTCTTATATCTAAGCATCCACCTACAGCCCTTGTCCAAGGCTGAGTCTAACAAACAACATGGCAAAAGAATATTTGCAGAATTATTTCATATAGATAAAAATCTGAGAGGCAAAACTCAATTATACTTTTAAAGATGTATAGCTGTATAAAACTACAAAGAAATCAAAGAATTAATGACCATAAAAATGAGAGCAGAAGTTACCTCTGCGTGGAGCAGGAGGGGATTACGTTCTATAAGTGGTACATGGAGAACTTGTTTTGCCCAGTGTCTTGATCTGGGTGGTAGATACACTTGTATTCACATTATATTTAGTCACACATCATGTGTGTATGTTTCATGCACCATTTTATACGTGTGTTCTTTTATGATAAAAAAAAATTTAGTACATAGGTAGAAGGATTGACCTAAAAGAATAAATACACTTTTTCTTGTGAGATACACAGGAAGAAGAGGACAGATGAGGTATTATTTGAACTGAAAGAAAGAAAGTTGTGTTTTCCCTGTGAGGTATAGAATAAAGCTAAGCTAAGAATATGAGAAGTCTTAAGGAAATTGCCAAATATTTCGAAAAACAGTTAACAGGAATAGAGAAGTAACTAAACCATACTGAGCGAAGAGTGTTACCCACCCATCAAGTTGGAGATGTAAGTGAAATTGGTAGCAGTGTGCATTTCTGATTGGCAGTCAGGAAAAGCTCATCTAGGCAGAATGTACTGGTCTTCAGCATGTTCTCTGAAGCCAAGGAAATTACTGTAGTAGTATATTTGGGAAAGATATGTTAAAATGAATCTAAGAGATTTAGTCTAGTATACATCTAGGCATTCTGAGAATTTAGGAACAAGATCAGGAAGTGTATGCACTGTTGAGGTGAACATGACCAGATTGTCATAAGATGAATGAATGATAGCAGTCATCTAAAAAGAATATATCGAATGGGGCCAGGGATGTAACTCAGTGGTTCTGCTGCCTGCCTCGCAAGTGCAAGGTCCCGAGTTCGATCCCCGGTACCCAAAAAAAAAGAATATATTGAAGAGATTTGAAAACTTCCTAGTTCAAATTGTCCTCAAAATTAGAATATAATTAGAAGAAACAACAAATGTGTTGCCAACGCCGTAACTTGACTACATGTAGGAAAAATGTTATACTGTGAAAACTGAGTGAAGGTTATCTGGTTTAAATTGAACCTGTGTTCTCAGACCATGATTTTCTTGTTTTAGGAATTGAAATTTATCTGACTTGCTAACTCAAGAGTTGTCATTGCCCATCTACTTACTTCTTCCAGTTCTGTTTCATGTTATCTGTTTAATTTTATTCTGTCCAATATTCTGACAACCAGTACTATGACAACACTATCTTTTATGCAGATGGGCCAGTTTTACTATTCAGCCAAAGCTTTTGATGTCCTGGAGAGGCTGGACCCCAACCCTGAATACTGGGAAGGCAAAAGGGGTGCGTGTGTGGGCATTTTCCAGATGATCCTAGCTGGGAGAGAACCCAAGTAAGCAAACATAAGGGAGATGATTCATTTGTTGGTGTGTGAGGGAAAAATAATTGGTTGCTTGGATAATATCTTCTGAAAGCTCAAAATTATAATGCTGTTTTATAATGATGAAAAAAATGTGAAGGTGTTAAGTTTTTCTATTGGGCCATTTTCCTACAAAAAGTATCTTATTTTTAAAAAATTCATTAAGTTTATTGGTACATTTTAGATATACAATATGATGACATTCATCATTGGGAATTTGTACCTTTACATGATACATCTTGGTTCTTATTTTTTTCCCCCTTCCCCTGCCTTCCCTTCCACCCCTCCAGCCCTCCTTATTTACAAAGACTTTGTTTCCATTTTTTCCTTTTACATATTTACTCCTTTCCTTTTCCCTCCCCCTTCCACTTCCCCTTCCCCTTTCGCCCTTATATTCCTATTTCACAATATGTCTTCTACATTTTGATCCTTATTTACACTTTCAGTTTCTCACACCGGAGAAACTATTTGGTATTTACACATGTATTTATTTATTCATAAAAAGTATTTATTTCATAAAAAGTATCTTATTTTTATAGAGTCAAATCATTCTAAATCATCCATACCTTGTGTATGCATGTGTAAGCCACGACTCTCAACTCTAAGGGCAAGATATAGATTTGTTCCCAGATGAATGGCCATTTTGACAAACATCTTGCCCATTGGCTCTTTTACATTAGGCCTCAAACAATAGGAATGGAGGAATGTGGTTAATAATTGTTTTTCTTCTGCTTCTTATATTCTAGGGAATGCTCAGATATTAGAGTACGTGAAATCATTGGTTTATAACTCCATCTCAATAGAAATTAAAACACTTAAAACTAAATTTGGTGTTCTAAAAATAACTTGATGGGCTGTTTTTGTTACTAATATGAATAGGAAATATAGGGCCCAGGGATTTAGCTCAGTGGTTCTGCCACCTGACCCACAGGTGCAAGGTCCCGAGTTCGATCCCCGGTACCAAAAAAATAAAATAAAATTTTAAAAAATGAATAGGAAATGTGATGATTTTATAAGCAAATAATCTATGAAAAATTACTTCCTGCCTTAAATCTATTTCCAGTCCTAAAAAAAAGGTTTGAAAGCATTTGGTCAAGTGAAAGATGTTGGTTATGGGTTTAAAAGAAGTAGAAAAACAAGAAGACTGTAGGGTGTAGATTCATAGGCAGTCACCTTTTGATTTGGTAAAGGATTAGGGACTTTCACCATGCATCACTTAAAATAGAAGTTTATGTTTGAGTTAGTTAAAACATAATGCTGTGTATCTGCCTAATCTTAGTCCATCATTCTCTTCTCTTCTGTATTTATTAATGCGTTTGGGCCTTTTTTAACCAAATTTCTTGAAGAAATCATCCATTCCTCTGGGTTTGTAAAATTTTACAGACATAGTACTAATACCTAAATTAAAGTGATTACCACCTTAAATAAAGGGGAAATCCAAGCCTCTGACAAATTAAGTGACTTGTTAACAGTGGAACTAGAATTTGAATTGAACTCCCTGAATTTAAATCCTGGATATATGCTTTCTACCCTGTCATGCAAAATAAGTGTAGAAATGGGAATATTTAGATCATCTCAGGAGAACACAAAGATTAATAGTATGCATAGAGGTAATATAGATAAGCAAGGAAAATTTGGGTAGATAAGGAGGATTTAACAGAATTTCCATTTTACTGTGCTAATGGGGTAGAAGCTAGGAAGTTTGTCATTGGTTTATGAATACACAGTGGGGGAGTCTTTTTTTTTTTGGTAACGGGGATCAAACTTGGGATCTTCCGCTTTCGAGGCAAGCAGCGGAACCACTGAACTAAATCCCAGCCCAGGAGGCATCTATTATAACAAATCCCCTAGTAAGTAGCACAGTATGAAGTTAGGAGTTTATTTTGTTTATTTTCATTTCTTTATTGAAACACTTTGTCCTTTCATATCTTTTCCTCAGAGAGACCCTCCGAGAAGTGCTCCATTTACTGAGAAGCACGGGTAACACCCAAGTAGAGTATATCATCCGAATCATGAAGAAATGGGCCAAAGAAAACAGAGTACCTGTCTAAAATAGCTCGAGAGACCCAGTGCTAAGAACTAGCTTCCGTGTTGATGTAAAATTGGAAATCACTTTCCTCAAGTTGAAAGAAGGCCTCGAGACAGTGACTGACTTGCTTAGACCTAACCCTGCCTCAACAAAGCACCGGGTCTGTGCTGTGGCCCTGGATGATCACACTAGCAATAAGACTTTGGACTTATCCGGTGCCTTCCAGAAATACTCGAGTATTCTTACGTAATTTACTGACTTTATGGAGAACAATGTAGCCTTTTTTTTCTTTTCATGATAACATTTCATGACATTTTCTCCCAGCTGCAATAACAATGTCTTTGATGCTCAAGAAGCACTTTCATCCTGCTGTCTTACTTTTAACCATCTCTGCACATTTTCCCCTTCTAGTGGGGATTCCATAAAAGGTTTTATGAAATATCTCTGAGTCCTGGGAGAACAAAGATTTTAACCAGCTGTGGGACTCTGAGAACAGAAGGAGCTCCTGTGTCAGACTATCCAGTCATTAATAGATAACAGGCTTGTAGGATTACTGATTCAGTGCTTAAACTCTTGGCATAACAACGTGTGGCAGTGTAGCAAGATGAGCACGGGAAATTTTTTTAAAGTGAGGGCTGTGGATGTAGCTCAGTGGTAGAACATTTGCCTAGCATGCACAAGGACCTGGGTTCAATCCCCAGTACAGGAAAAAGAAAGTGAGTATTATGGAAAAAATGTTTGTGTTGTGCCTTGGTACATATTCAAGCAAAAAAGTATATAAATCTCATTAGCCACTTCTCCATTATATTTTAGATAACAAAGCAGGTTATGGTTTTTCTTAATGTATCTACTGAATAAACATCATTTTGAAACCAGGCTATCAAGGGAAGAGAACAAACAGTGCCAGAAATAATTGGAGGCACTGAAGTTGGAAGAATTCTCATAAGCACTACATTTGTTTGCCCCTTTTCTCCAACATCTCACTGTGGCTGGGAGAGTTGCATAGAAAGGAGATGGGAACACAGCAAGCGTTACAGCAGCCTAGGAGAGGAGACCAGAGATTGCAAGTAGCCTTTACCTCTGGATGGTTGTGAGAGGCTCTCTCAGCTTGGCTCAGGACGACTGGTTTTCCTATCTCTTGTTAGACTCAGATCTAATCAGGCTAGAGCACAAATCAAATGAAACTGGCCCAAATAACTGAATCCTAAGAAACAGAGCTACGTCATTTTTCATATGCCAAAGCTTCTCTGTTTCATTATGCCGAGGCTAAATTTTCAATAATAACTGGTTGTAAGCATCAAAGGTACTAGGTGGGTCAGATCTGGGCAGAACTTGCTATCATTTTTTTGAATCATTCTGGCCTAAAATATTTGGAAACACAGTAGTGGAAACAACAGATTGAAACTTCTCAGTAGCTTTTGGCAATTAAATTTGTCTTCCAGGGAATTGCTGTTAATTTCAAGCTTCCTGAACTTGAAAAGCTTTCCCATTGATGGTGATTTACTTCTAAATAAGCTTTCACTGAATTTAATGCTCAGGATTCTACCAGATATTTTCCTCTGTCTTGGGGAAATGCCCGCATGTTCCAAACACAGCAGTGTTAGGATTGAGCCAGAAGCATAAAGACCAGTGTAAACGGAAGTAGCACCCAATTGTGTTAAGGTAACTACTTGTGGAGCATCTTGACAGCGCCTCACGATACACGGCTGCTTTCGTCATATGTGATGTAGGAGAGAGGAAGGTCCAGGCTTAGGAATGTAGTGTAATGTGTACAGTTTAGAGCACCAATGTACTATTTATAGGCCATAACATATATTACTTACAAATGGGAAAAAATCTTTTACAATTATTTTTGTACCTCCAAAGAATTAGTATATACCACTGTATTATATTCAAATTAAAGTTTATTATTTGGTTCTTATCATGGTATTCTGTTGGATGTGATGAGTGGGGGCCTTGGGCATGTCTTGTGCCATCTCTTTTCTTTCCTGACCCTCCATGAAGGGTGTCAGCCTCACATGTTACTGTTTACAATAGAGGAGAGTAGATATTCCCTAGCAAACCCTTTCCCCTAAGAGGCTGGTGGTCCTGCTGAATCATAGTAGGCTTGGCACATTGCTGAGTTATACTCCACTCAGAAGCTATATGTTCAGTGCACAATACACGATAGAAACCTCTCAAATACTTGACTGAATAAATATATAATTATGGTAGAACAAGGGACTTGTGAAATCTGACCTCGTGTGTTCTGGTGCCCATCTAATTATTGTTTTGTTGTGGGCTAAGCATAAGCAGGTTGCCAGGGGTGCTGAGATAAAGTAAAACACAGCCCTGGCCCCTAAGGAAGTCAGTCTAACAGAAGCACATAGGCCATTCAACACAGGTGGGATTGGTATCATCAACCAGAGCAAAGTGCTGAGAGAGAAAATAAGGCAGCTGGATGTTTGTACCTGTGTGACTGGAACAGCTCCTGCCTCGTTTTGCAGAAGGCGTCAGAATACATCCCATAGCTCAGTGGCGGGCAAGACGCACAAGCTCTGCCACACTACAGACAGCCAAGTGCACAGAAGCCAAGAGACTGCCGTCCTCCAGGGCTGAGTATGCTTGAAAGGCTGCAGGCAAGCGGCTTATATCATAGTGATTTAGATCTGCTTTTCTAAGGGAAAAATGAACTAGTAATTTACTACTTCCTAGTTCCTATATGCAGGACTCTCAATGTGACTTAGACAAGAAATCATCTTTCTTTTCATCTTCATTCTCTAACATATTTCTACACTGAGGTTTATATATGTGCAGTATAATAATGCTCAAACAGTAGTCCTCCCTATTCACTGATGGTCCCAGAGCAGCAGAGCTAGGGGCCTAGTGGTGCACCTGGAGCCTACCTTAATTCTAGAATATGCAAATGTAAGAGAGGACACAACAAATGCTCAATGAATGGCATCGGCTGATCTGCATTGAGTGTGCATAGACAAGTTCGCACATCTATTAGCAGCAAAACTTTCTCTGAACAAAATCTGAATGTCCAGTATACACCTGGGGGCTGCTCTGATGATTGAGGCACAGGAGGAGAGAAGGAGACACCCTTAGGCACCTGATAGGGTAACCCAATTTACAGACCTTGGATGTAGGAAGTAAGTACTCTGCTAGGTGAAGCTCAGGTGAGAGGGCATTAACTGGGTACATTCTTTCTAATTTATCATATTTTGGGCACATTCATATATACTTGGTGGCTGACATATCCTGCTGTGTTCCAGAAAGGATTTGAGGTATGTTATCAAAATATATCTAACAACATCAATAGACAGAAGGCCTTTAAGGGCACGAGGGAAGTTAATACACAAAGGTATTATACCAGAATTATTTTTTTGTTTTTGTTTTTTGGGGGGTACTGGGGATTGAACTCTGGTCCTTGCGCTTGCGCAGCAGATGGCGAAACCACTGAGCTAAATCCCCGGCCCTATGCCAGAATTATTAAAGATGGACTTGAGGTTCATCTTCAAGCTTCGTGTAAACCACAGCAAAGGTGAAAAACAACCAGATACAAAGTTCATAATCCATCCACGTGAATGAACTACCGAGAGGAAGAAAAAACTTAGGGTTTCAGTGAGCTCTGATTGCTCATGGGTTTCTGAACTGGTTTTCTGCACTAAACTTGGTCACAACTATCAAAAAATTTCAAGGGAATTTTTTGTTTCTAAACATGTACAGGTCTTTCCTACTGATAGTTGGACAGTTAAATAATCATACTTGTCCTTCTGTTGCTTTTTGTTTGTTTTGTTTTGTTTTGGTACCGGGGATCGAACTTGGGACCCTGAGCTTGCGAGGCAGGCGCCGGAACCACTGAGCTAAATCCCCGGCCCCATGTTTTTAATTTTCTCTATAAACATATAATTAGTTATATTCTGCCACTGTTTAACTGAGGAGTAATTAATATGGTAGAGCAAAGTAGCCATTCAAGTTTTAAAAATTAACATCACGTTAGGATGAAAATACAGTTAACAATGGCCTGAAGAATAAATTGCAAGGTACTTTAAAAGTATTGAGATAATGGGATGGCTTATATATTTACTGAGAAATTAAAAAGGGGAAATGCTGTGGAGCAAGTTAAATAATAAAAAGCTGCATGGGAGAAGAGAATCTTATAGCAAAACTGAAAGTACAGGGCTGGGTGTGGTGGCACATGGCTGCAATCCCAGCTCTTGGGAGGCTGAGGCAGGATTGGCATGAGTTTGAGGCCAGCATGGGCTACACAGTGAGTTCAGGGCCATCCTGAACAACATAATGGGACTCTGTCTCAACAAAAACAAAAAACAAACAAACAAACAAACAAAAACCAAAAACTTGAAGTACAATATAGAATTTAACTAAGGAAAGAATAAATTATATCAGAAGGTAATAACATAAAGCTATGAGTGAAATTTAGGTGTTTAATCATAACTTTACTGTTCTAGCCTTTATTTGCATATAGAGATTAATTTGTTCTTTGAAAAACAGCATGGCTTTAACTTGTCAACTTCTTTCACACTACAACTTGGCAATTCCAATACACTCTTGCCATATACCCATGAGACATTCTTGTTCATCAGGAAATGTATACAAGAATGATCCTCTCAGAACCATTCCGAGGAAAAACATGGGAGAACAACTCACATACCCACAGATAGGCGAGTGGATAAACAAACTCAGGAAAAGTCAGAATGGAACATTACCCAAAATAAATTGCAGTGACAACATGAATGGATCTTAGTGATATATTGGTTATGCCTATATTGAAGACAACTGAAATATGAACATACATTTCAAAGGACAGCCGGGGAACAATGACCATAGGTAGGATGGGGGAGCCGAGAGCAGCAGGAAAACAAGGCCACAAAAATAGGTACAGATTATCAGTAAATTCTAATTTTCATGTGGATGGTGAGTTATAGGGTATATTCCTGAATAAACTAGGAATAACTATACAATTAAACTGTAAACAGTCAATACGAGAGGACTAAGGATGACTGAGTCAAAAAAATAAAAAATAAAAAAGGATGACTGAGTCTCAAACAAAAGATTAGGACCAAACTAATCCTGTGCACTTGAGGCTAAACAGCATTACAAAATACGTATTAGAAATACTTCTAGGGCTAGGGATTTAGCTCAGTGGTTCTGCCGCCTGCCTCGCAAGCGCAAGGACCCGAGTTCGATCCCCAGTACCAAAAAAAAAAAAAGAAATACTTCTAAATGGAAATGTGATTATCTTCTACTAGTAGAATTGGGTAGCTGTGTATTTTCATATTTTGTACAATAATTTTTTTTTTTGGTACCAGGGATCGAACTCGGGTCCTTGCACTTGCAAGGCAGGCAGTGGAACCACTGAGCTAAATCCCTGGCCCTTGTACAATAAATATTGATACTTATCAGGAAAATGCCATGAAATTTTTACAAACTATTTTTAAATAGAAGAAACTTTCACTTTACACCTACAAAATAATTCCTTCACCTCCTCTAACTTCTGGTCTTTAATTCGAATTTCCCCCATCGTCTTCAGACAGCTTCCTAGAATTAGGATCCAAACTATTGCATTTAGCTCTTGTGTCCCTTACACCGGTTTTTTAAAAAGGACATCCCTTTCCCACTTTTTCCCAAGCCACTGGTTTGGTGGGGAAACTGGGTCATCTCTTGTGGAATGCCCCACATTCTGAATTTGGTTAAATGCAGCCTCAGAAAATTGTAGAACTTGTTCCTGTATCACTCACAATGCCTTTGAACTTGTAGTTAGGTCTAAAGGGTTAAGTGGATCCAAGTTCTGTTACTGTATGTACCCTGCCTACTGTGCAGGGTCAGGGATTTACAGGCCCACCGTAGTGAGGCTAAGTGGTCAGAGCTGGCACAGAGTCTGTCTGATCCCTCCCACCCCTCTGCTGCAGTGCTTGCCTTCAGGATTTCATCTGATGGCTTTGAAAGCCAAGAGGCTCATACTGACACCCAGCGTTTCCTTCAGGGGTGCAAAATGGTGACTTTCTACCCTACTGACTAAAATTCAACAATTCTAGAACATTTAATTATTAGATTACAAACCAGTTTATTCTGGAAAGGTAGGGAAAGAGAAAACTCTTATAATAATTTTCAAAGAAGTGAATGGGCACCCGATCATCCTCCAAAAGTAATGGTGAGGCTTGCTTCCATACACAGGCTGGGCAAGTGTGCTACCACTGACCCGCACCCCCACCCCTGAGACATGCTTTTGCTTTTCGGTATCATAATGAAACCATGGGTTGTTATGTATATCAATTAATTGCAAACACTATGTATTTTCATACTTGAGTTGTCCAATCTTTCTGTTTGTTTGTTTGGTTGGTTTTTTTTGAGGCAGGGTCCAACTATGTACTTCAGGCTGGCCTTGAACTCACTATGTAGCCCAGGATGGCCTGGAACTCACAGTGATCCTCCTGCCTCAGCCTCCCAAGTACTGGGGTTATAGGTGCACACCACCATGCCTGGCAAGTTGTCCAATGTTAGGCCAACAGGAATTCTTTTAAATTGGCTCCTGTTCGGGCCGGGGATTTAGCTCAGTGGTTTCGCCACCTGCTGTGCAAGCACAAGGACCTGAGTTTGATCTCTGGTACCCCCCCCCAAAAAAATTGGCTCCTGTGAACTTTAAAAATTGTTTTAAATTGTGAAAAAATACACAAAACCTAAAATTTGCCATCTTAACCATTTTAAGTATATTCAGTGGTATTAAGCACATTCACATTGCAATTTTTATGTATATTTATTTTTATTTATTCTTCATCTATATTTAGTGCATGTTTTAGAACTCCATGAGGTTATCAAGTAACTAAAACTTATAATATGAAAAGCTTTTAATGAAGACTTTTTAAATAGTTATCAATCTTTTCTTTTTCTAACTTTACTGAGGTATAATTGACAAGTA